ATTTTCCAAAGATCAGCTCAAAACTAAATTGGAAAAGCATTTATTAATTCTCTGAAAAAAGGAAAACCAAATCTCACCCGCGCGGCCCACGCACACGTAGCGTGCGCGCATGCGACCCACCGGCGTGGCAACGGCCCGCAATCGGGGAGGCCCACACGCTTCGGCACATTTGCGAAAACGACCTCGAGCAACCTGTGATTTCCCCCAGGGTTTGTAGCACTATTCCCATACTGGACTTAAGCAATCTAACCCTCAGAATAAACCATCTTCACAGTGGCCTAATCCTCGGGCACCCGTGCACGCACCGGTGCGGCGGCGACGGCACCGGGCGGTCACGCCGACCAACCTAGCCCCTTCCCGCCCCCAATAGCGAGCCGATGCTCACCTAGATGCAAACGTGAATCGATGGGTGGTGAAGCGGTGAACGGAGACGCGGTCCAGAGCTCTCTCCATGGCGGTGGACTCCCCCCTACGGTGGAGGCCATGTTCCCATGAGCCAAGGCACAAACGATGTGAGCGAACCAAAGAATGGGCATTAGCAACTCACCTAGAACCTACCTGACGTGGTGGCTTGACCGGGGACGGACCAGGTGCATCCGGCCATGAGCGCACGACAAGCACAGTGATGGCCGTGGTGGCGCGACCGCATTAGCGGCGCTGGGCAGGCAGTAGCAGTGCAAATTGGGGTGCGCATGGGGTGAAGGACTGCGAGGCAAGGCTGGGGGTGCAACCAATTGGGCTCGGGAGGACCAGGTGGGTAATGCCCATGGCAACGGCGTCTAAGCCTTTAATGGCGCGACGACGGACGCCGGCTCCAAATTGGAGCTTGCCAAGGCACGATGTGACACGGTGCGAGGTCGGTTGGCTAGCAGGCTAGAAGATGGAGTTGGGAGCGCACTGAATTGACTGGACATGACCTATCCATGTCGAACTGGTGGCGCGGCCTGGCTGGACCAGCAGCAGAGGAGGGAGGGGAAAAGAAAGGAATGGGGCCGGCTGCTTGTCCAAGCTCTGGCGGGATGTGGCTGACGCACATGCGCAAGCACTGCGAGCCAACATAGCCAGGAGAGGGGGCATACCCGCGTGCGGGCGGTGCCAGCGCAGCAGCACGGTCGTGGCGCCATTAATGGCGAATGACAAGCGGGTGGCCTCGGTAGGGCCACGTGCATGAATTCGACAACAATGACGCAGAGACGCAGGCGGACACGACGCAACGCTGTGGCGTGGGGGTGACAGCGCGGCGCAGCACAGTGATAGGATGGCCGTGGCGTAGTGGCTTAGGCGGACACAAGGCAAGGCAGCGGCAGTGACCCGGTGAGGGCAGGCGACCAGGGCAGCGGGCCCGCCGAGCGTGGCGGTGTGCGGCGCTGAAGTGTGCGTGCTCTGCTCGTGCAACACGTGCCTGGGCGCGGCAGTGGCGATGCGTAGCCTATGTGGTGGTGTGTGCGCGTTAGGCGAGCCGGAGCTGCAACGTCGGGTGTCGAGGCACGGTGACCGCGCCCAGTCGCTGAAACCGGTCGGAAACGTGCCATGCACGCTTTTTAAAGCGTCCCAAAAATCCAATTCGTTGATTCAAACGCCAAACCACCTTTGCAATTCTTAAGAGGGCATATTAAGCTACTAAAACAAGCCCTAATACCCCATCACTCCTTAACCCAATTACTCTACAAAAATTGTCAAACTTAGCTTTGTGAAACCATTTTCCGACTTAAGAAATTTGACGAAGTCCTGATCGGATTCGCGTCAAATTCGATTTACAAGCTATTAATCATGCTAACTAGTGAATTCATTTATCGACCGCAGGTATTTCATCGTCACCTTCGAAGTTTGTACTACAAACTTTATTAAAGTTCCGTATATGCGTTCTATAGCATTTTCGCTTAATAAAAATTGATTTAAAACCCTAAGTAATATAACTTGACTATGAAATGTAACTTTCGTTTCGTGTTTCCGTCGATCATTTCGAGCTACGAAAATCGATCTCACACTATATCACATGCATTATCACATAACCATGATGCTCATGACATGTTTTAGCAAAAGATTTTTAGTGTAACACTGAGGGTGTTACATAGATGTATGAGAAGAGCCATAGTACTGCCACACTGGATCTTTGAGGTTTGGCAACAATAGAAGATCTATATGTAAACGTAGGTCATCAGTGTCCATGGTAAGCAAGAGATGTCCTGTTATATATTCAGATAAGAGTAATTTTAGATTGCAGTAAGCAAGTTGACACAAGCCGAGCAATGTTTGAAAAAATTAGAATGAATGTTGTGATTAGTTTCAGAAATCACGTGAGACTCAACCCTTCTAGAACTTACCATTTTCTTCTATTTTTTTGTAGGCGTGCAACCAATGTTTGCTGTGATGACGTGACAAAACTAGTGAAAGAACTGAAGACATGGGGCCAATTCTCTTCCAATGTTTGTTCAGGTGCTAGTTCCAGAGGTCTCATGTAAAGACTCGTAGCTGGGTATTTATTTTTAGTTTGTTTGGGAGTATACAATGAAGATTCAATTATGTTCGTATGTTTATGTAATGAACATGCATATGAAATCAGGCCAGTTCGAAAGTCAACAACACTGATGTGCAATGTTTGTGTGAACTTGCAAGGCATGTGCAATGTTTGGTATATCAGCGATCCGTTCTAAGATGCATTAACTTGATGAATGATTGATTCTAAAGTGAGAAAGGTTTTATTCATGTGCAACCAAACAGTGATTTTGACGGGAAGGAACAAATCCTAGTCTAAAATTGAATCCAACAAGATTAAGTGAAACGATTAGATTCACTTGATTCTTGCCTTGGAAGCGTTCAGGATGGGATTGAAACCCTTGCTGCCGAACGGGCCCTAAGAGAGGGAAGGCGACGGCGATGGAGGTCGCCATGATGCGGTAAGATTGTGTGGTGGATGGTTGGTGACGGGAGAGAGAAGGCCAGGAATGTCATTCCCATGTCGTAGTTACGTCGACCCTGCAATTTAACACGCAAAGCGATGGGGAGCGCAAGTTTTTTTTTCTTTTTTCTTTTTGTCAAAAACAATAAAGGAGGCGTGATTGGTACTTTTTTTTGAAACTAGGCGTGATTGGTACTAGTACCTTGCATCGGTGATCCAAACTTTCCACATAAAAAAAGATACTTCTAAAATATGCGGCCATGCGTCAGATCAGTCGTGGCCACGGCCGACCGTTACGCAGGGCCATACACGTGCTTTTTCTCTCTTCTCTCTTCTTTCTTCCACTCGTACTGTTTTTCTTCTTCCATCCATGGTCCCACCGCCTCGTTCTTTGCATTCCTCTTGTGGTCCCATTGCCTCATCGCTGTGGTCCGACGCGCTGTCTGCTTGCCCGCTTGTGGGCGAAGCTAGGGGCATGAGTCTCGACAAAATCCTAGCTCGCCCACGGCGTCACCTTCTTCCCCTCCCCCATCCCGCAACCGTCATGGCCATGCTCTCCGCTCAAGGCACCTGCCGCGATGCCTGCCTCGCCCTAGCTCGGCCGTCTTCACCACCGTTAGGTCCCTAACCCTCCACCATCCCACCGTCGCTGCCTTCCTCCCCAAACCTTCTCTTTCTAAGCCCACCGGAGTTAGGCAAGACGAGAGGGAGAGCTCGCCGAAACCCTAACTTGCAGATCCAGGAGGAGGAGGAGGAGGAAGTCGCCTACCTCGCCGCCGCCACTGGAAACCACCGCCGCCGGAGGGAAGAGAGTGAGGAGCCACGTTGGGCGCGTGGGGAGGAGCCGCCGCTTGTTGGAGGGAGAGAGCGTGGGGAGTCGGCCAGGTGTGGGGGGGGTGAGTCAGGCGTGGTGTGGGCGGGATGGGGAGGGAGATGAGGAAGGCAGTCGTGCTTGCACCTAAAATCGGACGGTGTGTCAATAAGTCATTACCATTAAAAAATAGGGTGGTTAGAGCTAGAAGTGTAAAATTTACTAATATTTAATCATCTAAAGACAACAAAGCGTAAAGAGTAGGCGTGCCACGTCGTGCACGCTTTTTCATGGCCGCTCGATCGCACACGCAGCGGACCCCAGATCGATCGAGACGGTCATTTTTCAAAAAACCTTTCTTTTTCCTAGAAATCAATAAGTCCCTCTCGGGATATTTTTACCATTATTTTGAAAAAACCCAGAGCGGATGGCCTCCGGTTTTTTTTCAAAAAACCCTTAGAAAATGTCCACAAACCCTCTCATCATTTTTTGCGAAAACCTCCTCGGATTTTTCTCAAATCAACATACAGGACAACTTTGATTATATCTTTTTTTCCCAAAAAAAACCGTGTGGCCAGTGGCCCGCGCGCATGGGCGCGCCCGAAGGACTAGTATGTATCAGTTGAGCCAGAGACCATGTAATAAATAAAACACTCACTGTGTGGAAGATGTTGCATTGTATAGAGTAAATCTAAAGCTTGGTGAGACAGCAAGCGCACACAAACAACCTCGTGCAAACCCATACAGGGCACTAATCACGCACTAGAAGTTGCGTGACCAGTATTGCAAATTGGCAAAGACCTCACAAAATGTGGTTCTTTTAATGAAGGCGTGCCCCTCTCTGCGATGGCAAAGCATAATTTTTTCTTGAAGAGATCATCCAATTATTTAGTTTCTTTTGTAAAAACTAGCAAAATACGGATGGGAACATGCAAAAGAGCATGATTTGGAAGGGTGACGGAGCACCCTGACAGTGAATTCATATATATAAAGGTCTGCGGCACAAACTTGACCATCCTAATCTTGTCCCATCTCCACCTCTTCATTAGTGGTCTCTATATCTTCGTCGCAACCTTCCTCCGTCTAACCGCTCCACGCATCTCGAACTGATGATCTATGATTTCGTTGCCGGCGCTGCTCTGCTGTTTCTGCACAACCTGAAATCTAAACACAGCGACGCTGTCTGCACCAAAGGCGGGCCTGCTATGCACGTTGGAAGGCCTCTTTACTGGGCCGCAGACTATTATTTATTAGATGGGCCTTGTTCCCGATTAGGGTGCTGGCCGTCGGATGGCCAAGGAACGGCGCTCGGTGGAGTCCCTCTCTGACTTGTGGCGAGCAGGAGCAGAACAGGCTCATCGAGAGGTAGAAGACGACGGGGTCGAGCAGCAGAGGAGCAAGCAGGCAGGCCGAGACGACGAGATGACGATCCGGTTCGTGCTGTTCGTGAACAAGCAGGGCCAGACACGGCTGGCGCAGTACTACGAGCACCTCTCCCTTGACGAGCGACGCGCCCTCGAGGGCGAGATCGTCCGCAAGTGCCTCGCCCGCACCGACCAGCAGGTCCGTCCCTCTGTCCGTCCGTCCGTCCGCACCGCCGCCGCCTCCTCCTCCTCCTCCTCACCCCCGTGCAGCCTTCTTCTCCACGTCCCCTCCTTTGCTTCGCTCCCCCCTGATCCGCTCGGATCATCGCCCTCCTTTCCGGATCCACGAACCTGCTGGTTTTGTGTTGGACCGTCTTGGATCTGGATCGGGATAAGGGGTTTTTTTCCTACACTTCCGATTTTCTGAGACTCCCGCTGGTTTTTTTGTTGATTGATGCAGTGTTCGTTCGTGGAGCACCGGAACTACAAGGTCGTGTACAGGCGCTACGCCTCCCTTTTCTTCCTCGTCGGCGTTGACAATGATGAAGTGTGATTCCCCCCCCCACCTTCTTCTCTCAATCTCTCCTCTCCTCCCTTGGGAATGAATTCAGGTCTCTGCCATGCCAATTTGTCTGTGATTGCAAACTGTGGATGAAGTCGATCCCCATTGCTATTAGCTGCTGCCATCTATCTGTGCTCAGCTCAGCCGTGGTTGTGACGAAAATGGTTTGGCAGGAAACAGTATTATGATGCAGAACCTGTGAACCACAAAGGTTGCATAGACCTCAAACTCAAAGCAAAGCAATGCAATGATCTATTTAACTTTCACCTTGTCGTCTATGGTACTGTTATCCTTGTGCAAGTCTGAATTTCGTTCGCTCTACTGCTATCATCCTCTATTAATGAATTCGAATTATTCGTCACAGATCAAGCAATACTTAATATTGTGAACGGAACAGCAAAAAATGGTTTTTGCTTGATGCTATGGATTTAGCTCCTGTTCATATAATTATTTTCATGTAAGTTTTAAGGAATTGTTTGTTACTACGCAATTGGATTTAATAGGGACGACAGTTGCTACAGAGATCACAAGGGAATAATCTTTCATGGGATTTTCATAGCTTTACGATTACGACTAATTTGTCCATGATGTCACCATCTGTTAAGGCTACTCTTTTTCGTCACTGTGCATAAGGTTAGTCAAGGGAATCGCTAGGAATATTCGCTCAAGGGTACTAGTCCTACCAAACTAATATCCATGAGTAGTTTTCACAAACTCACCATATTGTTTTCCTAATAGTCACCGGGAACCATCTATGGTACTGTTATAGTTAAGCAAGTCCTTATTAAGTGGATGTACTCTTATCATCCTTTCTTTATAAAATTATTTATTGCCGATCAAGCAATATTCCATCTGTCAATTTAAGACGTGTTCTGATTTGGAAAAAAAATAATCTTTGCAATTTTTGACCAACAGTTGTCTGAATTATTTATTAGTGTAGAGTTGCATGAATACTTGAATATATTTGTATTAAAAGGACTGTTAAATTGATATTAATTATTAATTTTGTGGCATTTGACACTATTGCAAATAAGTCAAAGGTCAAATTTAGTTTAGATGACTTCTTTAGGATGGAGTATATATTTGTTCAATGAAACAAATTAGCATGCAATGGGATTTAGTAGAGATTGATCTGCCAGTGCCCAATAGGTATGGAGATCTCAACCAAATCATCAGATAAGGCTTCTACTGAGTTATCCTTTGATGGCAGCATTTGCTAGTTCATTAATTCTGAAATATACACATAACTCACTGAATGGACTTTTGTTTGATAATATTTCGTGACATTTTGATTGGCCCTTTGGAAACTTAGTACACTGTGAAATTGCTGCACTGCATATCTATCTATATCTTGTTTCTGCTTCTTGTCTTGTTTTTACTTTTTGAGTGCCTGAGTGAATATTGTTGTAATTTCCAATATCCCTTTTTGTGATTTAGGAATTTTTATTTGGTGGAAAGTTTCATTGTTTACCATGGTCTTTCTCTATACATGTCTTACTGCAACTTGCATATGCAAATCAGTGCTACAGGCTTTTTAATGTTTGTTGCAATTTGACTGCATTCCAGTGTTCTTTTCAAGTTGTCAAGCACTACTAGATGCACCTTCTCACAAATTTAAATGAGTGCCTCTGGATTTGTAACTTCTGTTGCAATTTAACTGCATTTCATTTTTTGAACTTACCAAGGATTACTGGATAGTAGATGCATCTTCCGTTACTTCCTTGACCTGCAAATCTTGTTTTAGGTATTTCCTCCCTCTGATACAAAAATTAACAATGCATCCATTTCATTCCATTTTGCAGAATGAGTTAGCTATCCTTGAATTTATACATCTTTTGGTGGAAACTATGGATCGCCACTTTGGCAATGTGGTAAGCTTATGTAACCCCAAGTGTTTTTCTCTCAGCTATTAGCATTGTAAAAATATTCGCGTAACTGGGGCTGATGCTTTTTTTTTCTTTTTTATCTCCTTTTGGCCAGTGCGAGCTTGATATCATGTTCCATCTGGAGAAAGTGCACTTCATGTTGGAAGAGATGGTGATGAATGGTTGCATTGTGGAGACGAGTAAACAGAACATCTTGGCACCCATACAACTTATGGAGAAAACTTCCTAAAATAGTGATCCATTTGTCTAGTTTTCCATCCATTTCTTCTTAGCACATTTTCCTCTGCCCCCTTCCATAAATTTTCCCTCTGTATGTGAAAGTGCAAACAATCTCTGTAAGCATGTTGTATCGAATTGACCTGATTGTGTGCTTTCAGATATTCCTGTGATCCTCTTTTCATGTATGCCTTCCCTTTGACCACTTATGTATAAAAGGTATATTTATCTTAAGAAAAGCTGATCTCTCATAAAAATAGTAATTTATTGTTACATTTTATGTAGTTTGTTGCAGATAATTTGAATAGTAATGATCAAAGGTGAATATTTGGGGTTGATGTTGAATGATTGATAAAACTGACTATATGGAGCATTTTGTTGTTATGATTATGTGATCGCAGTTAGTTTACAAACCTGTAATAAGTTCCACATTGTCACTTGTTCACAAGAATGGATGCCTGTGAAATGATGGCCAATTTTGGTCTGTTTACGTTAGTGGAAAATGTTTCTCGTCCTGTGATAACTATAATAGATCATGCTAACTCCTCTGATATAGCTGTATTGTGCTTATATAGACAAGAAAAATATGATTTGGATTGCCATTGGCCATTGCTCACTGCACGCAAGTATCTCTCTTTACGGTTTTACCTATGTATCTTCATACATTTTTTTCATGGCCTTTTCCTCCTAGACTTAATAGTTCAATTCTTGTTGAACCAATCAGGTGCTTAATTTGAATTATGCATCTTTTTGTGAAGAAGTTATATTTTGATAACCAACTCGAGTAAAAGCTAATGTTATATGGTAATGGCTGTTAAGCACAAACACATCTTTCAGTTTGCTTCCACAACACATGAACGTTTGAACTCCATAAATAAAAGCATCATGAATATTACTCACAATTGCTCAAAACTCACAACTATGAATGTTCTGGCTTTTGAATCCCTTCTGTTGATGCTCGCCGGATGATGGGTGGAGAATTGGTGATACTAGTGGCACATCTGGCTCTTAGTTACCTAAGGAAACAGTAATGAGTATTTTCCTAATGTCATCCATCCTCAGGGAGGTAAATGTATATGAACTAGCATTCTTTTCTTTGTTATGGGCTTACAATCCTGTACAAAATAAGAGATAAAAAAAATCTGTACAAAATAAGGATCAAAAGCATCCCAATATGAGCCTGTTTAGATGATGTAGTTTTTGAATCTGTGACTTTATAGGCTAGAGACATAACCATGTTTTAGAACAAAGATGACGTAAAGGAGTTTCTAAAACTTCAGAAAGAATGGCCCCGTTCGGCTGGTGCCATAATTTTACTGTTTACGGCTGAAAGTTACTGTTCACGGCTGATTTTCTCTCACAGATTTCTTCAGATTCCTCCAAACGAACGGGGCCAATATGATTTAAATGAAACCATGGTTTTAGAGACCGCAAACTTTGTTGTATCCGAACATCTAGTAGCTTTTGAAAACCAAAGGATTTGCAGAACTGTAATATTATCTAATACTCCAAAACTATTCTGCATTTAGGTCTAAGTGTTTATGTGGACACTTATTTCCATTAATATATGCCAAACATATTACTTTTTCCTGTTTCAGTTCTGTTGCCCTGTTGCTGGTGTTAACACATGACTACATGAGCCTGTGTCCCAACATGCAATTTAATCTATGACATGGTTCATAGTAATTTTCATGTAAAAACTACATACTCGATTAAATCTTTGTTTTTCTTGCATCCGCTGTATAAATTTTTTTCATTGGCAGTCAGGGAAGCTCAGCCAGCAACTAAGTTGCACCAAGCACCATGATTCTTGGACAAAAACTGACTGAAGCAAACAAGCTGCAGCCGATGATACTACTGCAGTACAATATTGTGTGAGTTGGAGCATGAATTCCCAAGCTGTAGAACTCCATTTGTTCCTGTCGCCACGCATTCTCAAGCAATAGCTAGTTTCCCTTGCACACTAATTTTCACTAACAGCTCTGCTAATTTGTTCTCTTCCTTATTTGTTTGGGAAGAGGATAGGAGAGAAAGAGAACTGGCTACGTGAAATGGAAAGCAAGGATATAAATAGGATGGAAGAGAGGGATTGGATTTAGTGCAAGAGTGCAAGGGTAGTTGATGAGGGAATAAATTCTGTGTAGAGAAGTAGTTGAGACTAAAGCTCAGATTTATCTGTCATACAAGCTAGCTCCCGGACGTCTGGATGCCCGCGCAGCCCACCCCGTCCCACCCAACGAGTGCACTCTGCCCCTATCTATGCGCCCGCCGGTTCTTCCCTTGATCCACTCCTCTCTCTCCAACTCTCCGCGCGGGCGACACTCGGGAGCCGGGATGAGCGGCTAAGGACGAGCACGCCCCCGTCCGCCAGCCCCCCGAGCACCCTATTCGCACGGCCCCTGACTCTCACATGGCAGAACAACGTAAACACTTGCAACATGAATGCAACATAAGACTGAAAACAGATGAAACATTTGGAACATACACATGCAACATGTGTGTGAAACACATGAAACATCCAAATAAAACACTTGCAACATGAAACCACTTGCTGCAACATAACACCGAAACAGCTAAAAACATTTGGAAAATACTATTGCAAAATATGTGTACAACATATGCAACATCTAGACAAAAAACGATTACAACATACATCTGAAAACAAATGAAAGATTTTGAACAAACACTTGCAACATGCCTCTGAAACACTTGCAACATATGCAACATCCCCCGATCTACTTTTACAACATTAAGATTAACCAATTGCAACATACATCTGAAACTTCTGAAACACGTGAAACATATATATGCAACATAGGGGAGGGAAGGCCAGGCCAGTCGTTTTCAACCGTCGGGGTGGGAGCCAATGGCGAGCCATGGCTGCGAGCACCACCAGCACCGGCCACGCTCGTGGACGCCCTTGGCTCAGCCAGGGAAGACCTGAGGCGCCACAACACATGCGCCCCCGCAGCCATGGCGGGGTCAGCGGTGCACCCGACGGCGATGGGTGATGGACGGACGGTGAGGGAGCGAGCAGCGCAGGTAACTAGGACGCAGGTGAGCGGTGCAAGTGAGCGGCGCAGGGAGCGAGGGCGCGTGGTGGGTGAAGGGGCGGACAGATGAGCTGCTACGCTGCTTTGGGCACCGGGCACGGATAAGCATACGAGGAAGTGGGGATTTGTTTTTTTTTATTCTGAGAGAGATGAGGCACGCTCCTACGGAGCCGTGTCCGGTCAAGAGTCACGGGCGGACGTCCGTGTTGGATCATTATCGTGACATCGTAGCCGTGACATGAACTCGCTGCCACCATCCTCCCAGAAATGACATGCTGAGAAATTGAGTGAGGGGAAAAGGGGGAGAAGCAAGCAATAAAGCCAATAAGCCATGATTCGGACTTCAGAGGAGTGAGATGCACATGATAAGCCATTTTTGTCATCGATGTACGGAAATTTAAACTTATGCACCGGAAGCATATATACATAATATATTTTACAACTTTAATTCCATTGTCTCGCCTAGTGGAAAGATGAATATCTTAGTGCTTCGTTGTACATCCTGAGTTTCCTTGCTCATGGTTTTGGACCATAGTGAAAACTGATTAATGGCTTATTAGGCACAGAACCCCACGGTAGCTACTAGCCATGCGGTAGCAAGTACCTAGTTTATCCTCTTTGTTAGCAAGGGAAATAGTATCGAATATTTTCCCAATGCTATCCATATCCTCAAGGAGATTAATGTGTGTGAACTAGCATTCCTAACCTTTGTTGCGGGCTTACAATCTTGTACGAAATAATTAATAAGGGCTTTGCTGCGGTACCCTAAATGACTATGAGTCATTCATTGATTTCGATCGGACTAAGAGGTAATAGATGAAATGTATATTTATTAATTTTTTATTTTATAAAATAGGATAAATAAGGAAAGTTTTAGATATAAAAAAATCTTTTTTCTAGATTTGATTGATGCATGCGTGATCTCTGACTGATATGGTAAATCTTTTTTATTTTATAACTTTGTATTCAATGTATTTTGATTGCCATATTATTTGTATGTAACTTTATACATTTGATTTTGCATGTGTTAGGATTTGTATGTGTACGTGATTAGCGTGTGTGGTTAGCCTGTGTAGCGTGTGTGTGTACGCGGCTAGTAGCATGGTTAGCCTGGTTTAGCGTGTGTACCTGGTTAGCATGTGTGTGTCCGTGGTTAGGCTGCTTTAGCGTGTGTGTACGTGGTTAGGCTGCTTAGCGTGTGTGGTGAGCGTGTCCATGCATGCATGTTAGATGAGTGGTTAGCGTATACGTGGTCAGCGTGTGTGTACGCGGCTAGCTAGCGTGTACGTGGTTAGCGTGTCCATGCATATGTTTGATGAGCGTGGGTAACATGATTGAACACAAAACTCCAATGTTTTTACCGGCTTGCAATGGCGGCGTAGGTGGCGATGGAAACCTAGGGATTGGTCCCGTGACCGCCGCGCCGCTTGTTCGGCGACATTGCCAAAGCAGCATCTTCCGTGATTGAAGGAGCAAGGAAGCTAGGGGATCTGATTCAGAGATTTGGGGGAAGAATTGGATCGAGACGACTCACAGGGAAGAGGTGCGCACCTAGCTGGAAGGGAGCGAGGATGGCCGGATCGGCGGCGGCGCACGAGGACGACCGGCGTGCACCCGACTCCAGCCTGCCCGCTCCACCCATGCGCACACCGTCGGGATCCCGCGCACGGAGAGGGAAAGAATCGCTTCTGTATCTGCCGCGTGATTAGTCTGTGATTAGGGGAATCGGCATGCATGTCTTCCTGGACTTCCCCGTCATTAGGGGGGTGTGGCAAGATTTTATTTGTTTTCCTGGATTTATGAAATGTGAAGAATCAATGGCTCAGATTGATTTGAAATATTACCTCCTCAGAGGTAAAATTTGTACCTTAGCATTGCCCAATTAATAAGGATCAAAAGCTTCACAATATGAAAGTATTTATTGCAAAAACAAAACAAAAACAAGGTTGCCACAATGAATTTAATGGATCAAATATATATATGCAACTGGTTTTTATCTAGATAGTGTCAACTACAATCTGTTGAATGATTAAGGGGCCTGTTTTGATGATGTAGTTTTAGAAAATTATGATTTTATATATAGGTCAAAGACATAACCGTGGTTAAGTACAAAGAGGTCGTGAAGTAGTTTCTAAAACTTCAAAAAGACTGAGTTTGACAAAACCATGGTTTTAGAGAATGCAAAATTTATTGTATCCAAACATCCAACAACTTTTGAAAACTAAAGCATTTTGCAAAAACGTAACATTTATCCAATATGTACTCCAAAATACTTTGCATATCCAAACTGCGCCAAGTGTTTATCCGGACACTTAGTTCCACCATTAACATATCCCAAGTTACATTACTTTTTTCTTGTATCAGTTCTGTTGGCCCTTTGCTGGTGTTTGATGTTCAAACAAAACAAGTAGCAGAACACATGAACCTGTATCCCAAGATGTAATTTAATCTATGCCATGGTTCATTGTCTTATCTTCACGTAAAAACCATATACTCCATTAGAGTTTTTTTTTTCTTGCATCCTTTCTTCATTCACAAACATGGAAGCGCAGCTAGCAACTAAATTGCACCATGATTCTTGCACAAGAACTTCGGACTGAAGCAAGAACTGTTGCAGTACAATATAGTGTGAGTTGGAGCATGAATTTTCGGAAGCTGTAGAAGTCTTCCTGTTGCCACCCATTCTCAGGCAATAGCTAGTTTCCCTAATTCCCTTGAACACTAATTTTCACTAACATCTCTGTTAATTTCTTCTCTGCCTTATTTGTTTGCATATTTGTTTGGGAAGAGGATAGGAGAGCAAGAGAACTGTCTACGTCAAATGAAAAGCAAGGATATAATGGATGAAAAGCAAGGCTATAAATAGGAAGGAAGAGAGGGATTGGATTTAGTGCAAGAGTGCAAGGGTCGTTGATGAGGGGATAAGTTCTGCGCTAATGCTCTGCTAAGGACGTCCGTACATCCGGACGTTCCTGTTGATGGGCCACGACACCAGCCCAACGGCCCAACTCGCCACTTACGTATCTGCTCGCCCAACCTTATTTACTCGTGAGCCCGTCGTCGTTCGTCTCCATTCACCGCGCCACCATCGCGTCCACACAGCCGCACGAGCTCCAGTGCGACCACGCCGCCGTGGCACTCTCCACCGCGTGCGTGCTCCAGCGCAACCATGCCGTCGCGGCATCTCCACCGCGCCCGACCGGCCTCCGTCCTCTCTCTAACACGCTCCAGCGCCGCTGCCTGCCATCCTTCCTCTCCATCGGGCCATCCGCCTGCCGCAGCGTTCTCCACCGCGCTGGCTGCCTTCTCCACCGGAGCTACGAGCCTCTCCACGGCATCGAGCTCCGCGCCGGCGTCGAGCTCCGCGTCAACGAGCCTCCAATCGTCCAAGCAGCAAGTATATATTGCACTGAAAACACATGTTGCAAGCGTATGTTTCATGTGTTTAAGATGTTTTAGAGGTTTGTTGCAAGTGTTTCGTAAGAATGTTGCAAAAGTAGATCGGGATGTTGCATATGTTGTAATGGTTTTAAACGTATGATGCAAATGTTGTTCCCAATGTTTTATCTTTTTTTAGACGTACGTTGCAAGTGTGTTTATCTGAATGTTGCATATGTTTCACACATATGTTGCGATTGTTTTATCTGGATGTTGCGTATATTTGCAATGGTTTTCAAGTGTTTTTGCACTTGATTTAGACTCATGTTTCAAATGTTTTATTTGTCTTCAGATGTATGTTGCAAGTGTTGCATCTGAATGTCTCAAAAGTAGATTGGAGTGTTGCACATGTTGTAATGTGACTCACCTGCTGCAACTGTTGAAGGCGGCACGAGGGGTCAGGCGAGGCGCAGACGTGGCGTGGGGTCGGGCGGGGGAGCAAACGCCACGTGGGGTCAGGTGGGGGCACAGACATCGCGTGGGTCGAGTGGTACACAGGGTGCAATGCGCGGGAATGGGGTGTAGGCGCGGGCCTCCGGACATGGGCGTCCGTCCGGACTTCCGGACGCTAGCACTGTCGTAAATTTGTGTAGAGTAGTTGAGACTATCAAAGCTCAGGCCATACAAAGTCCTCAATCATTGAAGCCACATGAGCTCGCTGCCACCATCCTCCAGCAAATCAAATGACATGCTGAGGGGAAAGGAAAGGAGAAGCAATTCTACATTCTTTTTTTTGAATTCTAATGTTTCTTTGTCATTTTGCGGCAAAGCACAAGCAGATCTTGCATAGGCACATGCATCAACAACTCATGGCACTACGCATATACTCTCTCCATTCATAAAAGAATACATGTCTCACTTTATAAGAAGGCAAACGATTTAAAGTTTAACCAAAGTAATTAAAAAGAACTAACATTTATTATAAGAAATAAGTATCATTAAATTAATTATAAAATATTTTTTTATAGTAAACCTAGTTGGAGACATCAATATTAATACTATTTAATATAAACTTGGTCATAGTTAAGCTAATTTGACTTGTACAAATCTCATTGTTGCACTTTTTGTGGGAGGGATTACTTCAAAACATCTCTTCTACGTAACACCACCCTCTCAATTCAGGAATTAACTGATACTCCCTACCACATATAAGTCTAAATAATATGGTCATAGCTAAGAGTTTTTTTTCTTTTTCTTTTTTGAGAATTACATAGTTACAACATAGACACCCGCACACTCATCCCATGAACACACGTACACAGAGCAACAGCTAGAGTTAAGAGTTTATTTGGATTGGCTATGACTGTTAGCCAGATTAACTAGCTAAAAGTTATCCAGACTAACTGCAACGACGGCCAGCCCATCCAACGATTGAAGCCCATTCTTCCAAATCAAATAAATAGAAAATCAAATTGTCAGCCCATCCAACAACTGAAGCCCATTCCAAAAAACCGGCCTCCTGTCTCCTGTCCTCCTCAAAAAGCCCCCGTTCTCCTCTCCGTCGCCCTCTCCCCATGGCCGCCCATTCTGAGCACCCGCCGTCACCGGCGGAACCGCAACCGCAAGCACCGCTCGCCCCCACCACCATACGCGACCTCTCCGACGACCTCCTGCGCGAGATCCTCCTCCGCCTCCCGTCCCTCCCTTCGCTCGTCCGCGCCGCCCTCACCTGCCACGCCTTCCTCGCCGCCGTCCGCTCCTCCCCCGCCTTCCGCCGCCGTTTCCGCGCGCTGCACCCGGCCCCTCTCCTCGGCTTCTTCTTCGACCCCGACGGCAATGAAAATCCCACCTTCACGCCCATCCGCCGCGGCTCCGACCGGGACCACGCGGCCGCCGTCCGCGGCCTCGATGCCTTCCTCACCCGCGTCCCGCACCAGGACGACGACGACGTCTTCCCCGGATGGCAGATAATGGAGTGCCGCGGCGGCTGCCTTCTCCTCCTCAACTGGAGAACCAAGCAGTTCGCCGCCTACAACCCCCTCACCGGGGCCTTGGATCTCGTCCCCAAGCTGCCTGATGAGATCTCCAAAGGACACCGCGGCAAGTTCATCTCCGGTGATTTCTTCCTGGTCGTCCCCGACGACGAGGCTCCCGACAGGCGTTCGTTCCGCGTGGTCTCCTCCTGCCACGACAAGTCTCGGGTGCGCGTTGCCGTCTTCTCGTCGACCACCAGGAAGTGGCAGATTCTCCCCTGGTCGGAGCCTGTGCCGACACAGCCGGCGAGTGGCAAGTACTGGCTTCTCTCGGGGAATCAGGTGAATGGGTTCCTGTGCTGGTCACACCATAAGAATGCCTACAAGGTGTTGCTGGACACTGCGACGCTGCAATTCTCGTTCATCGATCTGCCGCATGGCTTGAGTGGGCAAGGCCACCTCTACAGGACTGGGGATACAAAGGATGGGAAGCTCTGCATCGTGGCCGCGATCGATTTCACACTCTTCGTTTGGTTCCGGACACCAGATGTTGATGGTGTTGACAAGTGGGTGCTTCAAAATGTGTTGCAGATGGAGGAAGAGGTTCTTGAGGCCACCGAGGGCGAACGGGATGAACTTGAACAGCTTAAAGTGTTTGCAATTCGGGACGGCATTGTGTACATGACGACATTTGAGACATTTAGAGATGCTACTTTGCCTTGTTGGTACCTATCCTTCTGCCTGGAAACAAGGAAGCTGGAAAAGCTCTTTTATGTAAAAGCTGATGGCCATGCTCATCCCTACTTCATGCCATGGCCTACTTCTTTAGTAGGTAACAATTCGAGCTTTCTGTTTCAAGTGGAACTGGTTATGATAACCTATAAGTTGAAGATAAAAAGAAAACAATTGGCAAATCTTTGTTTTATTCTACTGGTAATCTCTTATGCTGAGTATATGGTGTCTGTTTTTTTATAGTGCTATCGTTCTTTACAAATTGCAGAGTAGGAATAATATGTACCCAGGTTCTGTCTAGATTCAACAGTTCGTTTCACTTGTCCAGTTGTCCTCATATGTTTAAGGACAGCAGTGTTACACTTAACTCTTTTTATATATGAGAATACATTTGTTTCTGCATAGCCTCAGGAGTACCAGGCCGTGTAGCTCTTCCAACAAACTTAACCCAGTTCTTTGAGCTTAGTAGTAAGGAAGGGGATGTTCTCAAATCCATGTTGATCTTTCTGTTAGCTTATATAACTTGGAGTCTTTGGTTAACCTGTAATGACTATGTTTTTAACAATAAAATCATTGCCCGCCCTGATGTTTTGGTACATCGCTCGATAATTTTTATGCAGAAATGGAGCATCCTGCTGAAGTAGAAAGAGAAAAGTTGGTCAATGACGACAACACAGAGATTATCACGACACTTGGCGCAATCAAGAGATCAGTGAAAGCTGTGTAGTTTTTTTTTTCTAAAAAAAAGTTTGCTATAATGTCCTGATGCTCTTCTGGTTGGTATTTCTTTTGGTTCCTCGTTCTATTTCTGTTTCCTTTTAGAGGGGAAGTGCCTTGAGCACTGTAATGCTTCTCTTGTAAGCTGGTTATCCCAGCAAACTCAAAACTTTGCTTTCTATAAAGCGGGAACAATGGTCTTTGGTCTAAAAAATATCAGTCCGTGTAGCTGATTCATGTTTGTGTGACAAGATAAATGGAAACTAAATAATGGCTAAAGTTCAAGGCACACTTAATTCCATGATGATAGCATGGGATGCAATGTATGTTCACACATCCTTTGGCCACTGTCTTTTAAAGCTGGCCTCAGCACAAATGATATTATGTCAAAGGAACCGCAGGAAAATTGTAATTCTATTAGGAATACTTCCACTGTTCCACACACACTGCATCTAATGAGGACTGATCCTGGTTTTATCTCTGCTATTATTGATTAAGACTTGTTTTTGTGTTGCAACTATTACCATGCGTGATGAAGATTGATTAGATCCAATGTTTTTTTTTTGAACTTCGGTTAGATCCAATGTTCCTAAACTCAAGATGCATATTATTTTCTTCTTTGAAGGATTCTTGACTATATTTTTTTCTTGAACACACAACAAACTTCGTATTAGGTTTATTAAAACCTACTACCGCTTGCTCGTAGGAGAGCATTCGGAGCATTGGTGGTTCTTCTGTGCGCTGATGCTTGTCTCTGCATGTTTTGTAAAAAAAGTGCCTCTAACTTTTAGGAAATCAATATGTTGTCCAACAAGCACTCTCCTCGGTCCAGTTTATAAGACACGCATGTATATTAAGATTTAAACTTCACAATCAGTTATTATTGTTAACTATAAGTATAATAGGATGAGATATGAGATGACCGACAACTAACTTGTCTTCACTTATTCCTTTTGTTAGGGCGTTAGGCTGGTTGTGGTTTGACCGCGCAGTGACCAATATGGATCTAATGATCATTGCAGCATGTCTGACCATAGCAATTTTGTATGCCACTACCAAAATGGCCCAAAGGAGAACTCTGCCCGAAACTAAGCAGGGACCTTCACTCCCACCTGTAGTGAGCACAGTTTCATTGCTTGCATATGTGCCTACGTACGCTTGTAAGCAGTGGTCTACCGACTGTGATCGATCACCTGCACACGAAGCTGGGTAGCGTGTTCACAATGAGTCTTTTTGGGCTGAATAAGGTGACGTTTCTGGTCGGGCCAGAGGTGACGGCTCATTTTTTCCAAGGCTCGGAATCAGAGATCATGCAGTCCAATATCTACAAAGTCACGGTGCCCGTTTTTGGGCGAGGGGTTCTGTATGATGTGGACTTTGCTACCAGGAGCAGGCAGATCAGCTTCTTTATGGAATCCATAAAGCCCATGAACTTGAGAGGCCATGTTGATTCTATGGTTCATGAGGTGGAGGTACGTAATTAAGAAAGCAACGTCGTTTATTATTATTTTTTCCACTTCTCCTATATATTTCAAGTGTCTAAATTTTAAGATGATTTCAGGCAACACTCTTATACTACCATTAGTACAAGTAAATTGTTACTTTTGTGATTTGTTATTTATCTTTGTGTCGTAACGTACCAAATTTTTATCTTTGTCTGACTATAGAAATAATTGTAATAAATTGTTAAATTGTCTTTGTGCCAACACATGTCAGATTTTGTCAGGTTTGTGGTTTTGTCTAACGAGTATTTTATTCCCGGAACAAAAAATCATAGATTGTGTATGTAGAAATTGCAATGAACTAAAATCATAGTTTTAGTATAAAATATATGCTAACCATCGCCTGAAAGTAAACTAAAAGTTAGGCATCAGAGTCCTTTATTCATTTTTATTATGATTTCCTTCATTCACGTGTGTCTTATTATTAATTATGATACCATCATCATGCATAAAATAAATCTACTTGCACTGCAGGACTACTTTGCACAATGGGGGCAACATGGTGTGGTGGACGTAAAGCACGAGATGGGGCGTCTCATCCTGCTCATAGCAAATCGATGCTTTCTTGGAAAACAGTTCCGAGAGAATGTGTTCGACGAAGAGGTATCCACACTCGTCCGCGAGCTCTTCGAGAACGGCTTCCACTTGATCAGCCTCTTCTTCCCGTATCTCCCTATCCCGCAGCACCGTCGATGTGACAAAGCCCGAACCAAGCTCGGGGAGATCATCCACGAGGTGGTGAGGTCACGCAGGAGCTCTGCAGCTGGCCGCGCCGAGAACGACGATGTGCTGCAGAGACTCGTGGACTCCAAGTACATCAACGGCCGCTCCATGACCGAGGACGAGATCGCCGGGCTACTCGTGTGCCTGATGTTCACCGCGCAGCACACGAGCTCCAGCACCAGCACCTGGACAGGAGTCTGCCTGCTCAGCCATGGCGGGAGCAGCTACCTGGCGGCTGCCGTCGAAGAGCAGAAGCGGATCATGGAGCGACACGGCGAGCGCGTCGACTACAGCGTCCTGCAAGAGATGGGCACCCTGCATTGCTGCATCAAAGAGGCGCTGAGGCTGCACCCTCCGGCGAACTTGCTGATCCGCCACGCGAGCAAGGGCTTCAGCGTGCGAACAAGAGAAGGCAACAGATTTGACATCCCCAAGGGGCATACCCTAGTGACCTGTACGATGTTGGGCAACAGGCTGCCCTACATCTACAAGGACCCTCATGTGTATGATCCCAGTAGGTTTGGTCCGGGGAGAGAGGAGGACAAAGTTGGCGGCAAGTTCTCGTATACACCCTTCAGTGCTGGGAGGCACGCTTGCTTGGGAAAGGATTTTGCTTACATGCAAATTGAGGTGATATGGAGCCATTTGCTCAGAAACTTTGAGCTCGAGTTGATCTCCCCTTTCCCGGAGGAAGAATGGGAGAAGTTAGCTCCAGGGCCTAGAGGTAAAGTGATGGTTAGTTACAAGAGACGAAGACTGCTGTCGTGATTAGCATAGAGTAAGTTGTTGGGTTGCTTGTGTACTTGCATGGGGTATCGGGGTTTATGTGTTATTTATGTATCGTGGAGAAAGAATAACGGGACGAGTAGCGCCTGGATGTTTGGCCCTATGACCCATCCAGACGCAGCTGCGACCCGTCCAATATTTGCCACAGGAGCCGTCCGATTTCAGCTACAAAACCACGGAATAGCGTAACAGATGGAGCGCTCGCCCGCTCGCGTAATGGAACCACGGAACAGAAGGAGCGCCAGCCCGCGCCACTCGCGGCGGCCTGTGCCCCGCCGCGCCACAAGCATTGAGAAGAAGGGGAGGGTGCGGCGCCCGCTTGCGCCTCTGGTTCGGATGCCCAGCTGGCGCCGAGAGAAGGTGGAGACACCGAGGAGGGTGCGAGATGCAACACTGATCTACTTTTGAAACATCCAGATGCAACACTTGCAACATACGTCTGAAGGCAAATGAAACACTTGAAACATGCATCTGAAACACTTGCAAAAACACCTGAAAAACACTTTAAAACCATGTACACAACATCAAGATAAAACACTTGCAACATATGTGTGAAATATATGCAACATACATCTGGAAAAACAGTTGAAACATTGGGAACAAAAGCTTGCAACATACGTATACAACCATTGCAACATACTGATCTATTTTTGCAACATTCACATGAAACACTTGCAACATCCAAATAAAACATCTGAAACACTTGAAACATACTCTTGCAACATGCGTTTTCAGCACATAATGTCACCTTGCTACTTGGACGAATCGCGGAGGTCGGCGGCGGTGCATGGAGCTCGCCGTTGCGCCCCTGGGCGAGGACCTGTTTGGCGGCCTGGGTGACCACCTCCACGAGGAACGCAAGCACCCTGGGCAAGCATCTGCGCGAGCACCCCTAGGCGAGCGCTTGCTCGGCGGCTAAGTGGACAACGCACCTTACATCTAGTTCATTGGTGTCTATATTTATGTCCCTGAGCATGAGTGCTCGAATCTTTGCAATAGGGATTACAAACGAAACAGTATTGAGGTTCTAAGGTTCGGAAGCATATGCCTTCGATCCCCTAGAGAGCTTAGGACCTCCCTTGTATAGGTTTTGGGGGACCCAATTATAGGGAGAGGGGGAGAGCGAGAGAGCTTAGGTCCTCCCTTGTATAGGTTTTGGGGGAGCCGTTTATAGGGAGAGGGGGAGAGAGAGAAATAAAAAGGGGTGGCTTTTGTCATCGTACTTGAGTTGTCGGGTCGTTGCGTTAGTAGTGCCATAGAAGCAGGGATGATCTGTCCCTTTTAACTGTGTTATACTTGCAAATACTATAACAGTCGTATCTTTCCTGTGCTGGTGTGTGCAGACATGCTCAGTACTAGTGATACAACGGCTTAGTACGACCTTTTTTACTATTCAGGAGAAGGCAAATTGTATCCGAGCTCCCCAGGAGCTCGAATGCCGTTCCATGGAACCGGTACAACTGCCCCTTTGATCCTTCGGGATGAAGGCTTCGGCTCCGGCTACTTGTAAGGAGTCCTGCCAAACGCTTATAGAAAAATGGCTCCTCATAAGGAGCTAGGAGGAGCTGGAGCCGGTTTTGTATAGAGGAGCTGGAGCCTACAAAAATAGTTTCTATTGGCTCCTCCTCATAAATCTAAATACAAAATTATTACAAAACTGTCATTGAAGTCGTTTTACCAAATATTTTCTAAAACGGTATCAACTCCACCAGACAAGTTCCTTCACATAAGAAGTGAGAGCTTGAATCCTCAGTTGGTTAGGTTCCTTGCGGTGAACCAACTCACCCGGGTTGAACTCCTCGACTTGGCATAGGTGCTCGTATTTTTCTGCATTTATTTTAGGATTTAACGGCGTTGTGCTTTCAATAGTAGGCGATGTTCCCGTTGACAGCGAGACGCCTGTGGTGACTTCGTCAATCTCGAGATGTGTCGGCATAGTTTTTCGGATGTGCTCATAGGGGTAGGTTTACGTGCGTGTGTTTGTAGGATGAGTATGCATGCGTATTGAACGTCTGCGTTGTACTCGTGTAATTCGCAGGAAAAAAGAAAGAGCATAGCCTTACGAAACGGGGAATGGATCCGAGGTACCGGAGGAGCTCGGATGCGCCATTGATTGGTCGTTAATTTATTGTAGAAAATGCTGATACAGATGTCTTGAAAATGGGCCGTTAATTGGCCACCTTTTTTAATAAAAGGTTGTTGTAGGATCATGGCAGCCTTTTCGAATTAGCATCATAATAACCGATACAGATGTCGTGAAAATAACTATAGCTTAATCGAAAAGTTCATAAGTTCAGATAGCTAAGCATTAACATAGCAGATATAGCAGCCTTTTTTTTTCTTTACAGCGGGAAATACTCCATTCTCAAATTATAAGTCACTCTGGATTTAGATGCATAAAGCTCTTACCATTTAGAAAGGAGGGAGTAGTAACCCTGTAATTCTATTGCATCTTTTACCAAGCCAAACAACAGAAAAACTAAGTGTTACACTATAGGATCTTACACAAAGCACGTCTTACCAATTACCACTGCATACAGACTTACGACTTCTAATACAAACAAAGACATGAATAGAAGATTCCTATATGTACCAGATCATCATCTACATGAAAACCAATCTAAACTTTGCACCTGGACTCATCGTTTTTTCATGGGGCCTGGTTCAGGTCAATCACATACCCAACTGGACCTCCACGGCCCATTGAGGCCCTACGAGAAAGTGACGGAGGCCTCCTCAGCTCAGCATGGACTGGCACAGGCATCTCATCAGAGTGCCCAGAAATGCAGAGCGATCCATTTTCATCCTGATCCCAGTAAACCTCAACCATGAGGCCTCTTGGATGATCCTCTGTCTCAGTTCCAGGAATACCAACAAAACGAGCCCCCTTGGGAATCTGAATTGTCAAAGAGACACAATCAAAGAACAGAACACAGTCTTCTAAATGTATCCCTAGCAATTTTTTCTTTTCTTTGCTAAACAACCAGATAAGCAAACTAGCCTACTTGATGGGAGATATTTCTGCATCTCAGATGTTTTCCTCCATCTATGATTAGAAGTGTGAGCTCTCTCACTGAGTTACTAGGTCGTGGGTTCAAAGCAGCCTCTCCATAGATTTTGCGGGGGAATGGCTTGTCTCGGTTTATCCCTTCCCCAGACCCCACTCATGTGGGAGCCTCCGGCACTGGGTCTGCCCTTTTATGATTAGAAGTGTGGTGTTGTTGTTAGGGTTATTGAGTACAGACCTGAATTGTTGCTCCTGATGACAGGTTGAGAGTCACCAAGGTACCTTCAGCAGTAGAGCTCTCCAGCTCTGCCTGCTTTGCAATGTTCAGGAAGACCTCTTCAAGTGTTGTCAGACCAAGTTGAATGTCTGATATTCCAAACTCCCCTTCCCTGTCTTGCAGCTCTCCAAAGAATCTCTGTTGTGGAAGTATTAATGTATCATTTACTTAAAATGAAGTACATTAGAGCTCTGGTGCCAAGGTATTACCGTCAGAAGCGGTTCTTTGTGATGAGGGATGACAAATGTCAAGAATGTCCTGCTCTCCTCTTTTGGATTAATATCAAGCCGCTGTTTAAACACAAAAGAGAAAGGCATTTATATATCATGATGGTAAGAGACAAAACCTTAAGATGATCTTATTTAGTCATGAGATACATACTTCCTTGAAGAACCATTTGACAGCTTCTATGTTCGGATTAACTGGAGCCTCAGTGTTGCTGTTGCTGTTGGGGCTCTGCATGTGGCCATTTCCAGAGAAATTAACATTAGCGATGTATCCTGTTCCAAATTTCGACTTCAGCCTTATTGATGTCCCAATGCACCGCAGTTTCCCCTTTGCCATTATAGCTATCCGGTCACCAAGAATATCAGCCTCCTCCATGGAATGGGTGGTCAAGACAATAGCTCTTCCTTTCTTGGCCTCCTCTATGATGTCCCAAACATGCCTCCTTGTAATTGGATCCATGCCAGTAGTCTACATAACATATACTTACTTAGGTTGACATGTGACAGGGCCGTAGAGGAGTCTAAGAGACAAACCAATGAAAACTTTTCTATTTCCTCACCGGTTCATCGAGAAAAACCAATTTTGGGTCACCAATCAGTGCAATCGCGACACTTAGCCGGCGCTTCATTCCTCCACTGTAGCTGCCTGCTCTAGCATTAGTTACCTGGCTGAGCTTCACTTTGGCTAATGATTCCTCTGCTACCTGTGTCAGGTGATAACCATAGGAAGATCAGCATCCAAGACCATATGAGTTTCAGAGAGAACAAGTCAAAAGATTATTTTAAGAAATATACTGATGTGATTGCTGCTGGAGGCAATCCCTTGATGCTGGCAAACAATTCCATGTGCTCTTTAGCTGTTAATGCATCCCACAGGATATCGAACTGTAAAGTAACACAACACACATATTTATGTTTTTTTTCAAATACATCACCACTTGCATCAATAATATCAAAATGCCTAAAGCACCACCTGTGGGCAGACTCCAATCATCCTACGGATATTTGACATTCCCACAGTGCTTCGAACAGAATGACCATAAATGAATGCTGTGAGATGTTTGGTATGTATTATTAGCATGGCGGTTATTGTTTTGAGACAAAGAAACCAGAATGTTGCTTCAATGAACGATACTTACCATCACCTCCTGTAATTGGTGTGATTCCAGTCAGACAACTGATTGTAGTTGTTTTGCCAGCTCCATTGGGCCCAAGAAGACAAAATAGCTGGTCCTTCTCAAGGTTCACCCATAAGCCCTGAATAAATTTTTAGGTAATGAATAATCAGATCATGACAAGCATAGTTGCATGTATTTTATGTCAAAAATTAATTGATAACTTACTTTAACAGAATGAAATGGCTTAGATTTTGAGCATCTGCAACAACAACCAATGCTGAAAGTTCCTGGATATGTCTTCCGTAGACCATGTATTTGAACTGCAACACCAGGATCTACCGCATTGTTTGCAGCTTGTTCCTTTACTAGGTTTTGCTCCGCGAGAACATCCTCGTCAGTAGGGGTAGCATCATCAGCAGGACGGCTTGATCCAAAAAAGCTGAAGAGGCCTCCCTCTGGAATAAAGATTAATGGGTAGTGTAAGATACGAAAGCGGAAACAATGTGAGTAGTTATCAAATACTTCAATATCTGACCTTCCATCTTGCCTCCTTTACCCGTCCAGTATGAAGGCATAAGAAAGTAGAAAACTGACTTCCGGACACCGTTTACATTTGGAACTATGTTGTCAAAGTATATCGCCAGGACAAACCACAAGAAAAATGTGGATATGAGCCACTTATAGATATCGTCCTGTAAGATATTTTGCAAACAATAAGTGATTGAAATCTAGTGACTAAAATACATAAAAAATAAGCAAAGTTTTGCACGTACAATAGTAATGACGCAGTCCGTCTCAAAAGATGGGCACTCCCCACGCTGATTCCAGCTAAAACCTTTATCTTCAGGAGTGGCTGTTGCCTTGCCTAGAATGTTGAGGGCTTTGGCAAATAAATCAGGAGGAAATAAAGACCACAATGTCCGGTACAACTTTTTGTAGTCAGCCGAATAAGGGAACCCAAAGGTGGTAACAAGCTGCACAGGAAGAACAAAGGTATTATCATATTTTCTGAAAAAAATGAAATACTGGATACATAAGATGATGATTAACAAAATATTACCTGAGTCAAGAACCCAATAATGAATATTGCAAATCCAACAGTAGTTGCCGATGCTGCCTTCGCTACGAACGTGGATATCATGAAGGCAAAACTAAGCTGCAGGAAACATGATGAATGTTTATGTAAGGGGACATTTAAAAGAAACATATGCTTCGCAAACTATGATAAGATTAGAAAATATACCAAAAAAGTTCATCCATGAAATTTGTTGTTAACAAAATTGAGCATTACAAACAGGCAGAACTAAAACAAATAAATCGATCAATATTTGGAACTTACCATGTTCAGTTGGAACAGGAAGAACAGGAGGAATAGGATTCCAAAATTATTATGAAGGAAGAAATCGAACTGGAACATCATCCCAAAGAGCACAGTAAAAAGTGCTGAAAGTGTTGTAAGAAGGGCCTCCCAAATAAACCACGATAACCAGTAAGCCGATTCATAGAGCCCCATGGTAGACATAGCCTGCAATATATCAAAATTTTGGCTCACTTTGAGCATAAAGATAATGCTGGCAGACAGCAGTGAGTGAAGTTTGAACCTGACGAAGCTTTAGTTCTTTCTCTGCCACCAAAGCACTGATTTGGAAAACAAATCCAAACATTGCAATGGCAAGAAAGAAAGTTGGTCCTGCTTGAGCAATGGTAGAGAAGGTCTCTGTGGCTGGGTGAGCGAATTCCTTAAATCCGACAGTCCAGCTAAAATTTGGATCTGTAACATTCATGAAAAGCACTTATTCCCAATGAACAATTAACTAACAGAACCAAACACAAAACTAACATTTAATTATGCATTACATACGAAAGAAACATTTGTGGACTCCACCTTCAGTAAGCAGGGTTTTAAAACTTTTTTAGTTTTTTTCTCTCCCTCTTAATGAAAAATGTGCTTAGGCTTACAGTAAATAGTCTGAAAAAATATCTGGCCAAGAAAATAGTATTTAAAAAGTACAAAATAGCAGGAATTATTGTCACTGAGGATGGAAATACATAAAAGCAACAATTTCCTTAAAGAAGCATGGAAGAATTAATACCTCCAATAAGAAGTCTTGCCATTTCCCTCTCAGCTGCAACTTGGAGTGGTATCTGGAACTTGAAGGTCGGATCTTCGTATGTTCCTCTCCGTGCTACCGGAGTAGAGTTTGTCTGAATACCATACTTTATCTGGGTGGCATTTATATCTTGAAAATGCAAAGCACCAGGGCAGCGCATTGGGTTTTGAAACAACCAAGCATCAACATCATCCGGAGTCCTAAAACCTAAAACCTGAAAGAATCACTGAGAGCCAATCAGATGACATGTTGAGTGATTGTCAATTCTGGGGTGCAGTTGCAAAACATGATTAAGTTTTGGCTAGTGCACAACTGCACATACTCTCTCAAGTCAGAAATATAAGTTGTTTTGGACTAGTACATGAGTGGTAACAAAGTGGCTCAAAGACTTTGCTGCCCTTCATTTATACACTAAGAAAGATGGGTCACTTATTTAGAAATGAAACTAAAGCAAGAATAAAGATAAAAGTGCCTATAAATTATAGGATGAGCAACATTAGGGAAGTACAAGGAAAGATCGAAACATTTACTCATGGACCCAAAGGGGTACTATATTTTTCAGTTTACCATCAGATTCGAGCTTATGTCAAATGACAAACTGATAGTGAATCATAAGAAGGCAAACTATACTAACCGTGAATACCATATTTTACCTGATTAGCATAAAAAACAAAAAATCAGAAGCTGAATTTAAGTTAACTAATTCAGACTACATAATAGACTCATGAATGCCTGGAGTCCAGTCTGAGCAGTTTTTCTGTATGCATTTTAAGCTCCTGATCAATAGAGTTTTGAGCACTGAAATAATATACTAATTTACACAAACCTAGGACCAGTTCATTGATACCATCAACTAATTTATGAGAACCCCACACTCTTCCCTAGAAATTCTCAAATATATTCGTAGTTAACATCCAAAGATGCATCCTCACCATCTTTGTTTCCAAGGAAAGGCCTTAGGACACACCAGAGCATGAAAGTGACATGAAACAACATTAACTGAATTTAGCTGTTCCTTGCAGACCTGGGAGTTTCCCAGCTCACATAATAAGCAACAAAATAGGCATCTTTTTTAACCTTCCATTTGGAAAGCTCGCAAATTCTACCCCCTAAATTCTGACGGGAGTGCCCACGGCTTGCATCAAAAAGTAAGATGGAACCAACTCAGATACTAAAATTGGGAGCATCAAGCCTTATGATGATTCAAGTTAACCATGAAGCTACGTCCAAGCCACTAAGCTCCAAAATGCTCATAAAGTTAAAAGGAGGTAAAACAACCTGTCACAGTGGACAAGAATTAGTAAAGTTAACTTGAAATAAATTTATTTTAAAATTCCAAAACCAAATCCTCTAAACTCATGCAAAATTCCTGTGTCAAAGAGGAAGTTATCACGCGGTTTTCTTTGTCTTCGAAAAAAAAAACTCACTTCTGAACTGAAATCCAATCATTCCCCACCCGGAATCCAGATTCCTGCTCCCAAAAAAATGGGAAGAAAATCCAAAATCCTCACGCGAAACGTGCGAGCACGGCATTCGTCGCCATCCACACAGGTCAGTGGTCAGCCCAATTCCGCAAGTCCGCAGGCGAAAATCGCACACCAACAAATTCCCGACAAGAATGTACTTGCCGAATCCAGAGCGACAAACTGAGGGGGGGAGGAGGGTCGCGGAAGGAATCGGGACCTTTTCGGGCGGTATGGGCCGGCCGGGGTTGTTGTTCCGGATGGCGTCGACAAGGCCCCTGATGCGGCTGCTCCCACCGTCGCTCCAGAGGAAGTCGTAGCAGGGGGACTTGATGAAGAACTTGTCCTCGCAGGGCGGGATCGGCGGCGCGACGAGCGGCTCCGGGTCCGGCACGTTGCGGTAGGCGGTGGTGCTGGAGAACCTGGAGCGGATGGCGCGGTCGATGCAGAAGATGAGGAAGATGAAGACGAGCGAGGAGAAGAGCTGCAGCGCGGCCGAGCGGCGGTTGCGCCAGGTGAGCGTGGCGTTCTTGCGGAGCAGCGCGCGGTACTGCTGCCACGCCAGCGCGCCGCCGCTCAGGAGCTCCATCGGTCGGTCGAGAGGCCCGGCCGCGGACCACGGGGGAGTTTCTTCTTGGCTTGGCTAGCGCTCTCTCTCTCTCTCCCTCCGGCCTCCCTCCCTCTCCTCGGTCTTGGAGCTTCCGGGGAGGAGTCTGAGGTTTGGGTATTTATAAGGGGGGCGTTTGAAAACGGCCAAGCGACGGACAGGAGGAAGACGCGGGTTTAGTGGGGCCCACCTGCCGGCCTGCAGCACGTCGTTCCTGCGGCTGATGAGCAGCACTCCGCTGATTCAGAGAGCAGCTCTTCCTATTCCATTTTCATTTAATACTAATGATGATAATACTACCGGTACATGTACTACTACTGCTACCTTCGTCTAGGAAAAAATAAAATTACGAGATACGTGTCAGTCAAATTAGTTTAAATTTAACTAAACTTATAAAAAATAATATTAACATTTATGTTTTCAAATAAATTTATTATGAAATATATTCTATAATGAATCGTAGGGTCCGTTTGGATCCCTTCATTTTGGAGGAATTCAAATCTACATAATGGATTATGCTATTTGGCTTGAAATTTGACATTCCATAACTTTCCCAAGCTCACAAATAAGTCTATCTCAAATTCATAGGACGAGAGATGAAAATAAATTCTATAGATCACTATGCTATAATTCTATTCTCCAACTTATAGCACACTTTTCAACTCACTTCCCTACAATAAGAATACAACATATAAGTATGTCCTTTATATGGCTAACAATAAATATACAAATATATTCCATATACAACTATATTAGCTTAATTAATCTATGTCTAAATTTTAATTATTAGAATGAATTCAATTCAAGGATCCAAACGGGTCTTAATGGTATTTATTTTATATCATAAATGTTAGTACTTTTTATATAATTGTAATCAAAGTTTAGACTCATTGACTTCTTGAAAAATAAAAATTGTCTTTTTTTTTACGGAGTGAGTACTGCATAGTACAATCCAACTCCGCTCGGACTGTTTGCTGCTGAATGCTGATGGATAGCTGCAGAAAGCCCGAAACTGTGATGTGATCAGTGATGTGTTGTTTGGGCTACAGGTGTTGCTGGCTGGCAGCAACAGCCAACTCAACCGGTCAGGCTAATTCTACAGCATAGGAGTACTCGTCAACTTTTGCTGGCGCATGATGCGTCCTCGTTGATATCAGTTTATTGGGAGGTGTACTCAATTTATTGTCCTTTCTGGGCTTTGCATGCGTGCAGCAGAAATTACTCCTAGATGAGAGCAAAACAGAAGAAAAAAAGAGATCACACACGCATAGCTACACAGGGCATCGACAAAGCATCGTATTGTGTCTACATTCCAGTGGACCGCATCCTTTCGACCAAAATTGGGTGATATATGATGGATCGTCGGCTTGTGCGTTCAAAATACTATACTTCATCCAACGCTCCAAAATAGGAAAAGAATATTTTCATCTAGTGATGTATGACCTGAGTTTTATCGATAGGTATGGCAATTCTATCCTTAGCCCACAGGTCCGACACAAGGTTAGAATCCGAGCTCTTTCAGTGTGGTATCTCACTGATGACTCGGGCCCTTCAGAAGGGGCATTCTTCGTCTTCCACCTAAGTTGCGCAAGAAAGGCCAAAGCCAATTGTCCCACGAAATAGTAAAGTTTCATAGAGTCTTTCTGTTTAGGTACTAGTAGTCCACATCTTTACAGACATGTTGTTCTTGACAGATGTAGGTACAAAATTTCATCTAGATTAAGGTATGGGTATAAGATTGTACCACGGTACAGGTGCAGGTATGTCGTTCAACCATTTGTGCTTAAAATGAAAGGGTTCCATATAGACAATCTAACTTATGGGTCAAATATCATAACATACACATGGATGCAAAATGATACATGAAGGTATAGGTGCCAGTATAAAAGTTTACATGTTAAACAAACTGTTTTGGACAGATATTTATTCAGTCAGTATCTTACTCGACCCGCTACTATCCCTATTTATTTATCAATGGTCTCCCCACGGGTGGATACTTTGCTACCGGTGTTTGTGGATGATCGTGTCGTCCCTTTGGGTGGATGCTTTGCCACCACGAGTTGGTTTCTCCATAGGCTACCGTTGCGTCGATGTATTTATTTTTCTCAGGTTTAGTCTGCTGTTGGGTGTTGTGGCCGAGGGCTCCCCCTTGCTTTTTCTTGTTGATTTTGCTTTTCTCTGCATCTTGTGGTAATCCTTGGATTACCTAGGCTCAAGTACTAAAAAATTTCTAGTTCTTCTTAATGAAATACGTGTCCAAGGACACGGTCGAGAAAATCAATGGTCTCCGTTCTCAAATGACTCACCATGCGCTTTGGCAGCTGATCACTGTGGCGGAACCGTCCGAAATAACACACCTTCGGAGGCGCGTGTCTTCCACCAGACACTAAGCACCCTGAAAGTAAGTTACATCGAACGGATTCCGTCGAGCACACCCCAAGGGAGAACTCGAATAATCCACGTTTTTCCTCTAGGATCAATAATGGGATCGAGTTTATAATACTTAGTCCATTTCATACAACCAGAGTTCTTAGAAACACATTATTGCAGTACCAAGTTCAGAGTGCGGAATTTAAACAGCAGAATTACAATAAACATCTAACGGTAGAACACAAGGATCCGTCTGTGCCCACCAGAAGAATCCTCCACACAACAGCTACTCTTCAAGCTGCACCTACAACAGGGGTAAATAAACCCTGAGTACACAAGGTACTCGCAAGACTTACCCGACTAGTGAGAATAATTTTCCGACTCCAAAGGATATGAGAAGCTTTATGGTTTGCTGGGTTTCCTTTTTGTAAAAAGCAATACTAGTAGTGAATCCTTATGTATGTGTTTTATTAGCAGTCATGATTAGTTCATTAGCTAACCATTATATGTAAGCACCTATTCTACTTTCAAGCAAGAGTTGAGCAATCAGATCCATTTCACCATATTTCATCCTCCAGTTCTTACTACAGTGCTAGATTGTAGACAAGTCGTACCGGATTACCCGGTGATTTGCGAATCGGTGTGCCTAGCTGGGTACCCTGAACCACACACCCCGCTTGTACCCCAGGCACAAGCAGGACCAACCCACCACTCTCCTATCAAGGGGTCTAGGTCCCCGTCCAAACTTGGACTCCAAGCCCCCACACCTGAGTCCCGGACTCAGTGTGGTGCTTAGACCTCCACCATCCCCGGCTTCAATCAGTCTGTTCGGAAAGAACCAAAACCTATGATAAGAGAGCAACGAGCCTTCCCTACTCCCATAAACAATTATGTGCTCAGGATAATAAGTCTGTGACCTGACTAGAATCCAATGCAACGGCCGGTCCTTAACTGACACGGACAGGGAAAACAGTGTAACCAAGCTATGCCCCGATGGCCGCGGGACACATCCTCTTACACCCACCAATACCCGTACCATATCCCTGCCCAGTCTCCATTTCCTTTCACCATTTTATCAAGAGAGTAATAATAGTAATCACCTATTATGAGTAACGACAGGTTACTCATGCTACCAAAAATCCTAAGCATAGCAGCTACTCGACCTATGCTAGTAGGACTCATAGGTAGATTTATCTATGCATGTAGTTTCAATATAAATCCTGTAACATAAATGCACATCACATATATATATCCAGTGATTATTCAAAATAAGGGTTATGCACCGGGGCTTGCCTTGGGCAGGCGCGGTGTCAGCTCAGTCAGTCCGTGGTGGCTCTAAGACCTCCTCCTACATGAGGACCTCCTCGTACTCTTCAACCACCTCTTCGTACTCCTACTCGCCCTCGATCACGAGCTCCACCAACTCGTTTTCTACATGCATGCAATGACGATGCAACGCTCAATATTAAGGCAACAACAGTTCTTAAAATAAGAATACATCTACTAAGCCACTAAGCTAGCTCTAATGACTAAGATACCGAGCTAATCATCATTCCCATCAAACCAGCAGGGTTTCACCTACAAGTGCTACTTAGCAACTAAAATATATTCTTACTCTTATTAACGATTTCCTGTATACTACAACAAGGAGAACTAATCTACCATATTACTCAACCTATTCTAAGGCTACAAAAATTACAGTGAGCACATAATAATATAATGAATCTACTGTAAAAATTTCATGTTCCTAGCTATTACCAATTTGCCACAAAAATTCCTACAAATACTAATCTAAAAAATACTAAACACTCACAAATGATTTAATAGCCGCCGGTATAAACAAATATATATATGAACTAAATACACTAACAGATAAAGCATAATTTTTGGAACCTAACAAAATTGGTTTCACAATTTTTGGACATTTACATGATTTTATATGATTTACCAAAGTTTAGCTCAGAATTACAAATGAAAAGCTATTTCTATTTTCCATGAAAAATCTAAACCAATTTTGGCCCACGCAGCCCACGCGCACGCGCGAACACGCGGCGGCCCACAGGCGTGGCGTGGCCCACGCGCGGAGGCGGCCCGCGGCAAGGAGGCCTGCGCGCGCTGGCACATATGCAAAAACGCCCCTGGACTATGAGCAAAACAACCCACAGTGCATGTTACTATTCCTATAGACATGACTTATGCAAGAGAACCCTTGGACCTTTCTCCTCTTTACAATGGTGAGGCCCTCGGCCATCCCCGTGTGTTTCGGCACGGCGAGCAGTGGCACATGCGCCTACGCCGACCACGCGGGACCCTAGCTGACCTAGCTACGAGGCCGACGCTCACCTAGGGTTCGACGTGAGACGATGGGTGGCGGTTGCGCGAGCCGGGACACCATAGAAGGACCTCTCCATGACGGTAGACACCCTACGGCAATGGCGACGGTGTTCAGGTGAGCCACAGCAACAACCAAGGCAATAGGGCAGTGGGTGAGCAACGACAACTCACCGGTGACCTTACCAAGAAGCCAGCTCGGTCGGAGACGACCCGAGCGAGGCTAGCCATGTGCGTGCGGCGAGGTGAACAGCGGACCGTTAAGGCACGGTCGCGTCAGT